CTGGGTTTATGATTAAAGCACCCAGATTATTCTGCTTTAGTAAATGGGCATTTTTCTAGCCTTTTGAGTCATCCTTTCCGATTTCCTTATTGTCAGCACACTCGGCCTGTGCAGCTCTGAGGACATTTTGACCTAAACTATATACATATATCTTTTACATATATATAAAAGATTTTACTGGGGAATTGGGGTGAGGGGAACAGCGTTGGGGAATAGGGGAAGGGGAACAGACAGGTAGACAAATTGCTGTTTTCGTTCTTCAGTCTACTTGTGAAGGACTTCGCTTCACTGCCCCATGTTGGTATGATCATTGTGCTCTTCCTGGGTGAGGCAATTGGTCGCTGGTCATTGGTCGGCCGCTCACAGTGGCTCTTGGCAGCTCACGTTGGCTGCCAGCCACTTACGTAGCTCACGGCAGGCCACTGCAGCCCCGCTGCAACCTACACCATTGCCAGCAACTCACAGCAGCCCAGCTCTAGGTTGAGCTGTTGTTCATCATCTTAGCTGTAAAGGGGAAGCATCACTGGCCCTCAATGTGGGATCCGAACCGCAGCCCTGCTGCTCAGAGCTAGTGTCCCAAGCCAACTCTTAACCAGCTGAGCCACTCAGCCGGCCCTCGACCTAAACAATATTTAACAGGGTGCTATCCTAGCCAACTTCCCCATACTTTACAATTTGTGTTTATCTTTAAATAATTTGGCGTGGTCATTTTATAATGCAATTTGAATAGATTGACTCTACTTCAATAATTTAGCTTTGACCTTGAACATGTAAAATATAAATTGTAATTTTATTACTAAAATGTTCCAATTCAGTATAATATTTTCAGTGAGAATTTGAGAGTGTCTAGTATGTACTCATCAAGACACTTGCACAGATAAAGAATCTTCTGAGAAAAGGTCTATTTCTATCTAGAGCAAAGCTTATCAAAGCATCGGTGATAAAGGAAAAAAACAATTTTTTCCTCCTACAATCAGTAATGGATTAATAGCTTCATAAAATAAAGTTAAAATAATTTTGTAGAGAAACAAAAATTTAAGAATACCAAGTACAAGTTCTAACTTTTTACATTTACATTTTTCAAACATAAAATCACTCAAATTGATATTGAAATTTCTAAACACTTTTTCTCATTTTCTGCATTTTTCTCTTTGTGGATTGGTTGCAAGCATTTGTATACTAGCATTTGTGTGTGGAATACAGTGGTCCTTGGCTAGAGGATTCCTTTAGAAAACCTCAGCTCCATGTTAGTGTTTAAATCAGGTTTCACTGACATAGTGGCACTATTTTTTTTCCTGAGGGTGTGGGAGCCATCCTCAAGCTCTTAACACCTTCTTACTTTTGTACTAGATTATTGGAAAGCATTGTATATGAAACACATCACTCTTCTTTGCTATAGTATTGCCTTTGCTAAATATAAATGCTAGAGGTCTTGTGGCTGTCTCTCTCCAATCTTGCCTTCAAGGTCACATTGTCTCCTCCTCTTTTCTGCGTGTCTGTGTCTCTCTTCTAAGGACACTATTATCGGATTTAGGACCACACCAGATAATCCAAGTTGATTTCAAGGTCCTTAACTTAATTACATCTGCAAAGACCCTTTGGCCAAATAAGGTAACTTTCACAGGTTCTGAGAATTAGGACATGGCATATCTTTTTGGGGACCACCATTTAAGCTACTAAAATAGGTAGTGGTAGTTGTTCTGCTAGCAGACATGAAAACATTAATCTTGTTGTACATCATCAGAGTTCTTGGGTGACCAGGGGCACTGTCAATGAGCAGTAATATTTCAAAAGGCATTCTTTCGAAGCAGGTCTCAACAGTGGGTCTAAAATAGTTAGTGAACCATGTTGTAAACAGATGTGCTGTCATTCAGGGTTTTTTGCTCCATTTATAGAGCACAGGCTGAGTGGATTTAGCATAATTCTTAAGGGCCCAGAATTTTCAAAATAGTAAATGAGCATTGGTTGCAACTTAAGAGTGACCAGCTGCATTAGCACCTGCAAGTCAGCCTGTCCTTTGAAGCTTTGAAGCCAGGTGTTGATGTCTCCTCTCTAGCTAGGAAAAGTCCTAGTGGCATCTTCTTCCAATATAAGGCTGTTTCATATACACCAAGTGTCTCTTGTTTACAGTGTAGCCACCTTCATTACCTTAGCTAGGTGTTCTGGATAACTCATTACTTCACCTGGCACTTTTATGATGGAGATAGCATCTTTCCTTTATCACTAACCAACCTGTGATGCTTCAGACTTTCCTCTTGCAACTTCCTCACCTCTCTCAGCCTTCATATAATTGAAGGGAGTTAGGGCTTTGCTCTGAATTAGGCTTGGATTTAAGGGAATATTGTGACTGGTTTGATCTTTTATCCAGACCACTAAAACTTTCTCCATATCAGCAATAAGGCTGTTTGTCTTTCTTATCATTCCTGTGTTCACTGAAGTAGCACCTTTAGTTTCCTTGCAGAACTTCTCCTTTGCATTCACAACTTGGTTAACTGTTTGCACAAGAGGCTTAGCTTTCTGCCTATCTCAGCTTTCAATATGCCTTCCTCACTAAGCGTAATCATTTTTAGTTTTTGATTTAAAGTGAAAGTCATGTGACTCTTCCTTTTACTTAACACTTAGAAGCCATTGTAGTGTTATTAATTGGCCTAATTTCAATATTGTTGTGTCTCAGGGAACAGGGAGGTCCCAGGAGAGAAAGAGATGAGGGAATGGCTAATTGGTGGAGCAGTCAGGATACACACAAAATTTATCAATTAAGTTTGCTGTTGTATAGGGGTACAGTTTGTGACTCTCCAAAACAATTACAATAGTAACATCAAAGATCACTGATCACAGATCATAACAAATACAATGAAAGATTTTAAAATATTGTGAGAATTACCAAAATGTGAGAGATACGAAGTGAACAAATGCTGTTGAAAATGGTGATGATAGACTTGCTTGATGCATCGTTGCCACAAGCATTCGATTTGTAAAAAACAAAGTCAGTATCTGCAAAGCACGATAAAGTGAAACACAATGAAACAAGTTGTGCTTAGTCATGTGCCATATAAAGACATTTTGTTCAGTGATTGACCACATATATGAGTGCTTCCATCAAATTTTATAATGGAGCCGAAAAATTCCTATCACCTAGTGACATCGTAGCTGTCTTAACATCACAGGTAACACATTACTCATGTGTTTGTGGTGACACTGGTATAAACAAACCTGCAGCACTGTCAGTTGTATAAAAGTATAGTATTGTACATACAGTAACAGCAGTAGGCTATACCACCTCGGTAATCTGTAAATACACCACGATGTTCGCACAATGACAAAATTGCCTAATGACTCATTTCTCAGAATGTATCCCCATCGTTAAGTACATGACTGTACTATACCCTTCTGTAGATTGGAAAGAAGTGCCTTTTTTTGGTGGACACACACCTAAGGATTCATAGCTTGATAAGGGGGAGGCACCTTTGCACAAAGGAAAAATTTCTCCTTCCTTTGGGCAAATGGCCTCATTTGCCCTCTTGGTTGGGCATACCATATGTAGTGTATGGCCTATAAAATTGTGGATTAGGAAGGGGTTTTAGTGAAATTAGTTTCTATAGTTATATAATTTTTTTGTATTCCCCAGCAGTCTGGATAGAGAAATGGAGAACGCAAATCAACTGATTCTTCAAAAAATTTAAAATAGAATTACCACATGACCCAGTAATCCCTTTTCTGGGTATCTACCTAGAAAATCTGAAAACATTTATCTGTAAAGGTACATGTACCCCTATGTTAATTGTAGCATTATTTACAGTGGTCAAAACATGAACACAACCAAAATGTCCTTTGACAGATGATTAAAGAAGATGTGGTACATATATACAATAGAATATTACTCAGTCATAAGAAAAGATAAAATACTGCCATTTGCGACAACATGGATGGATCTTAAGATTATCATGCTAAGCAAAATAAGTCAGACAGAAAAAGTTGAGAGCCATATGATTTCACTCATATGTGGGATATAAAACTGAAAGCAACAAACGAACAAGACAAACAAAAATGCATAGACACAGACAACAATTTAGTGGTTATCAAAATGAAAGGGGGACTGAGGGAGGTAGAATAAGAGGAAAGAGTGTCAAATATATGGTGACCGAAGGAGATTTGACTTGGGGGGTGAACACACAATGCAACATACGGTGATATATTACAGAACTGTACACTTGAAACTCATATAATTTTATTAACCAATGCTACCCTAATACATTTAATAAAATCAGTTCATTCTAGTTTAAAGTTTTCCCATGTAAGTATGGTAAACTCGATTATAAAGGGACAAGATATTTAATAACATTGGCAAGTTTCAGGGATAGTGGATCTAGGAAGGATAACAAAGAAAGATGTAGCAGACATGATTATCCTTTTTCCATGTGAACTGAATCACCATTTTATTCAGATGTTGGGTAGCAATGCACTAAGGGAAGGTGAATCCAATTCAAGAAGTGAATCACATGATTTAAACAAGTCATGGTAGTCACATTCCTCTATGTCTGTAGTTTAAGGGTGGGTATGTGACCTAGTTTTAGCCAAAGAAATATCAAGTTTTCCCTTAGGCAAAGATGCACAGAATAAACACTCATTTTTCTTTCCTTTAGATGTGGCCTTATAAGAAAATGTTTAGAGCTGTGACAGTCATTTTATGCCATGAAGGTGCAAACCTGAGGTCAAAGCCTACATGAGGAAATCAAAGAACCAAAAATACTGGGTTTTTCAGAAATTCTGAAATTTCTCCTTTGTCTTCGCAGAATCACTTTTTCCCTTATCTACTCCTGGTTTTTATTTAAAGTTACTTCTTTTTTACTTCTCTTTCTAGTTTGGACACATCTCTCTGGTTTTCCATTTTTCTTTTTTTTTTTTTAATTTTAATGATTTTTCAGTGGTGGGGGACATGCAGTTTTAAAGAATATATTGAATACTATTTATACTTAAAAATCCTTTTTTGGTATTTTAAAAAGTTTTACTAAACTGTAATTCACATATCATACACTTACTTACAATGTATAATTAAACAGCTTAATCTATCCACAGAGCTGTGCAACCATAAGCATAATACATTTTAGAAAATTTTCATCACCCCTAAAAGAAACCCCATTCCCATTAGTCACTCTCCATTCCCTTCAGTTCTGGGAAACCAATACTCTACTTTGTCTCAGAGATTTACCTGTTCTGTGATCTTTGACAACTGAAACTTGTATTGTTCATTACTAATCTCTAGTACCTAGGAAAGTGGCTGGCACATGGAGTTCAATAAATACTCAGTAGTGAACAAGATAGACTAGGTCCCTGCTTTCTTGGAGTTTATATTATAAAAGAGACAAATAAATGAAAAGCACCTACATTTTGTTAACTGTTGCACAATACAGACTGCACTATAATAGAGGATATTGAGAAATCTATTTAGTGAAATCAGAGGCTTCTCAGAGATGAGTTCTCTTATGCTGAAACCTCAATGAATGCTGGGAAGCAAACAGCCATGAAGTGCCCTGGGAAGAGAACTCCCAACAGAGAGAAGGGCACCTGAAGTCTGAGAGGCTACAAAGAACTCAGTCACTACAGAATAGTAAAGCCAGAGGATGAGAAAGTGGTGGAAAGGTAGACAAGGACCAGATTATACAAGGCTTTTTAGGGATGGTAATGGGTTCCTATTTAACTCCAAGTGAACAGGCATGACATTAAAGTTGTATGATTTATTCCTTGTGTAGAGCCTTACTATTCAAACCGTGTCCCCAACCAGCAGCAGTTGCAGCAGCATCACCTCTGCACTGTTTGTAATTGCAGACCCTGAGGCACCACCCCAGAATTAAGAGTCTCTACTTTTAATAAGATCCCCAAGTGATTCATGCACACTAAACCTCGAGAAACACTAGCGAATGGATCAGGAGAAAGAACAGGAGAGGGGAAACCAATAAGATACGTTAGTCCAAGTGCTGCCTGTGTAAGAGTGATAGCAGAAAGGAAGAGCAGACTGAGTTAGGGTGTGTTTTGGAGATAGCTGGTTTAGGTCTCTTAGCCAAGCGGAGATTTCAGTAGGCTGGTATCCATATGAACCTGGATTTCTGAGAAAAGTTTAGGATTGGAGATACAGTTCTGTTGGTCTATTGGGTATCCTGCTTTTGAGTTTCAAGTGTTGCTTCATAGTGTTTTATACTGACAAATGTTTGCATGTTGTCATCTTTATGGAAAATAAGGCATGCCTTTATGAAGGTTGTCCAAGTCCTCCCCTCTTTCACTTTGAGGTCCTCTGTTATGAGACATTTTTCAAGTCCTCATTAACCCCTTTACACACACACACACATTTTGAATGTTTTAAAATTCAAGGCGCACGGCTGATCAACACCTTGCCTTCTCTACAGCCCCTAGGGTTCTCCACACCCAAATCCTAACTAGGATGGATATCCTCAAGTCTCTCCAGTTTCTAGGTACAAAGCAGACTGGCAATTCCTGGGTTGGTGGGTTCATTTCTCTTGGTATACAATTCTCTATTCTTAAAAAGGACCAATGACTTAGGCGCCAATAGGGGAGACCCATTTGTAAGCCAAAAGAAGGAGCAATTTCTTGCTTTATCACTTCCTTAATAAGTGGCATGCTGAATTTCAACTTAACGGTCTTCCCTATACCATTTCTCTCATCTAGGCTGGTTTTGGCAAAAGTTCAGAAATAGCCATGGTAAAGCCAATGAATACGTCTTAGGAAACAGTTCATGTTTTGCTGGTGATTTCCAAAGGCATAAGCATGAACTGACCCATAGTCTTGCAATCTAAACTAAATTAAGCTTTGTTTGTAAGACTGCACTGGTTTGGTCAGCTCAGAGAATTTTCAAGGCTGGTCTCCCATTTGTTTTTGATTTTTAACAGTTTGTTACAATTACAAAGGCAAAAGGCCTTTCCTTTTCTTTCTTTCTGCGGTACGGGGAATGGGAAACGTTCTTGCTATGCTTTCAATTCTCAGCCATTGGTAATCTAGAGATTAGTACCACAGCACCCGAGTATCAGTGGGACTATTCCAGGATCCTGCCTCTTTTGGTTAAGTTCACGAGGCAGGGAAAACCTAGCAGGTTTCTGGTTAGGAAGTGATGTTAACATTTGCAACGGCATTCCTCTATTCATACTTGCCTTTTCCCCTCACTGTGAACTTACTTGAAACACTGCTGCTACAAGAAATTCTCTGAACTTTGGGAAGAAAGTTCCTTCCCAAGAACACCATACATCCATCTGAAGGGGGTGCCGCCAGTGGGAGTTATTTAAAGGGCGAAAAGCGGAGGGTTTGCTCCAGGGCCGAGATCGGGTCAGGCTAAGGGAGAGCACGGCGGGGCTAGGTCGGTTTGGACCCGCCTCCTCGGGCTCTGCGGGGCCCAGAGGTTGGAGGGAGGAAAAGGGCAGGCCTCCACGGCCTCCAGGTGGGAGCGGCACGGTGGGCGGAGGGGCTCGGCGCCTCCTCCCCACTTGGGACGTGCGTCCAGGGAGAACCGCCCGGGTCCCGCTCCTCCCCGCCGGCGGGGGGAGCAAAGGGGCAGGCGGCCGTGCTCTCAGGCTATAAAGGGCCTTGGGCCGCCGGGCTCGCCTCAGCGTCCTACGGCTCCGCCCTCGCTGCCTTCGAGCTCCGTTCCCGCTCAGGCTCCGCTCGACTTCTCGGGCCTCGGCTACCCGGGCTGCGGCGGAAGATGGCGGCTCCGACCGAGTCCTCCGAGGCGGCGCTGGCTGCTGCCTTGACTGACGTGCCCGAACTAGCCCGACTTCTGGAGGTTGACCCGTACTTGAAGCCCTTCGCCCAGGACTTCCAGCGCAGGTACCGCCTGACTCTGCTCTGTTCCCCATCCTCTCATTCCTCAGGGCGGGTCAGCCGAGCTCCCCAGCGCGGCCTGGCGCTCGGGCCCCTACTCGGCTCCCCGACGCGCGGCCCCGCCCCTCCCCGGCCCGTGGCCCCTCCTCCTGAGGCCCCGCCCCCGACTTGGAGGGTGGTGCCTTCAGAGGGTGGGCGTTGGGTTGATTTTCATAATTAGGTTAAGTGGCTTTCGGAGTGGTGGGTTGACAACTCTGGCCTCCTGATCAGACGCAGAAGCGCTGAATAAACTTTTCTCGCTCCTTGAATCACTGTTTTTGCGCCATTGAGTACGTGCTTTTGCGCCATTGAGTACGTGCTTTAGCTCCTAGTACTCGCCTCCTGATGTGCTGATGTGGAGGGAGGCAACGCAGCTGTAGATTTTCTGACTTTTCTGTAGGTTTTCTGACTGCACCAGAGTGGTCCTGTGAATTAGCCTGTGCATAACACCCGGCGTGTGTAACTGCGCAGTTAAATTTTTCTGTTGATTTCATAGCAGATATTGTGTTGCTTATATCCAACAGGATTCTTTCAGGCAGCATTTGTTCTTATTAATATTACCCCCTCTAAGAGAAGATTAAGCCTAGCTTGGTCACCTCCCTCCCCCTGCCTGGGCCAACATTGATGAGTAAACAAAGCAACGTTCATCTGTGTGGAGAAAGGCCAAGAAAGCCAAACTTCTAGAGGCCCATTTAGGCTGCTTTAGTTTTAGCTTGTCTCATATGCTGTGGCAAATTGGTTTACCACAATTAAGTGGCTGAGATAATAATTCTGGTAGTCAGCTCAACTTAAAAGGTATACTTGATTTTAATAATTGTTATACTAGTTATAGCATCAATAGTTACATTTGTGAGATAAGTGCATTGTTATTTAATGGTTTCTGCCCTCTTAGCCAAGCCACTTGAGGATAAAAACAATTATGGCATCCGAATATACACAAATTTTCAAATAACGGAAAACCTCCAGCTAGTTAGATGTTTTAGTTGGAAAGAAGCTGCGTTGGGGGTAATGAAACACTGTTGGTAAGGAATTGAGAAAAAAAAAAAACTTCAGTTCATCACCTGGCGTTGTCACTTATTACCTGTATTCAATTCATCAACAGTTTATTAAGGCATCCTAATGGGACACAAAGTTGAATACAACGTCTCCTTCCAGAGCTTGTATATCCGAATAAATGAGCCCTTCTCAAATTAGTCACCTCCAGCTGTTGCTCAGTTAATCAGATGATGGGCCCTTATATAAGCCATATGGGGAACAGCCTTGTGAAATTGCTTTCAGTATTTACAATATATGCTTCCAAAGAAGCAGTGCATACTCTTCATAGTTCAAGATTGGATTTGATTTAGAAATAGTCAAAAAAATTTTAGAGCAAAAGATGGTGGTCAGACTTTTTGATGTGATTATTAATGATGATACTATGCTTGGTAAAATGAGACTTAAGACATTTCTAAAAGAAGAGCTGTGGAAATGTCTTGTCTGCTTCTGCTCATCCCCCTTAAAAAAAAATGATTGCAAGCTGACAAACATCCTTTGGTAAGTGTTTCTTTCATGTAATTCGTTTCAATTCCATTGGGATTGAAGCAATTATGATCCTTTTATGGTTTATCAAACCTAATGAGAGCAGCCAAGGCCAGAATAAAGAAGTGGGGTCAATCCAGTGTTCTTGGTGAGAAGGCCTGTCCAGCGGGCCCTTGTGCCTCCCTCTGACCTGGATTCTACTTCTGGCCTTGGTTCTAAGTAATTGCCATTTTCCAGCACACGTTCCATTTAAACCTATCAAATAGTAATTTGGTATTTGGCAGTGGTGATTTTTACTTTGAACAATTGAAGAATAAAAAATTCCTCCTTCGTCAAATTTGGTTCTAGTTACTTTACCTATTTTCTGTTGATTTTTTTTATAACCCACCTGTGCAGTGTGTTTTTGGCCTAACAAACATTTAGGTACAAAAAGTATGCTTACTAAGGAGTGAAGAAAATTTAGTGTACAAACAACAGTAGATAAGAGTGGTGATGGGAGAAGCAGCTTCTTTGCGTTGGTGGACTGTCTCATTCTTCCCCAACCAACGTATCTTCATTAGAAATGCTGTTATGTATATTTGTTGTTCTTGCTTACCTTTTCTTTAACTGTAAGAATGTTGAATCAAGTGTGAGGATTAGTGGATTACTCTGTGCCAGGGCAATCACTCTAGGATGTAGGTGAATGAAGGCTTCATTTTGAAACATGCTTTTTACAGTGTCAGTGGCAAGGAACAGAGAACATGTTGAACTATGCACTGTTTCTTATAGCTTTTGCCTGAGTCACTTCTGCTGATACATTGGCCAGTGTAAATCAAACGTGACCTCTGAGCCACGTGTGTGGAATAGAGCATGGACATTTGTGAATGGCCTGAAAAACAACACAGTTGCAACAACACTTGTCTATACCCTTTGTTTAAAGTTTATATAGTACTTTTAGGTACATTATGGTATTTGATTTAATCCTTGTAACAAAACCACAGGGTAGGAATGGTGGGCATTTTTGTTTTTCCTGTTTTACAGATGAAGGACCTGAGATTTGGTCAAGTGACTGGTTTAAGTTCATATGACTAATTAGTGCTGCAGCTGCAGTTATCTTTCCTTACTAAAACTGTTCTCAAGTTCACAAACAATGACTTCTTGGTAATTTAGTGTGTACCTCTTCTCTCCTCTTTATTTCTAGCGTTGGACATTTTGGACCACTTCTTGGATCCTTGGAGCCATAATACTATAGCCCTTGCTTTTCTTCCATTATCTCTGGTGGTTTCTTCTCAGCCTTTTTCTGGCCATTTAACAATATGAGATTTTCAGGGCCCTCCTTAGGTCCTTTTATATGTATTTATACTTCATATACTTTTCTTAGTATTGTCATTCATCTTATGGATTCCATATATGTTCTGAGACTGTCCCCATCTATCTCCTGGTCTCAGACATATTTAAGTATCTTCATTTTGATGTCCTATACGTACAACACTCAACATGTATAAAACTGAATTTATGGTTTTCTTCTACCAAACCTGTTTGTTCCTTTATACCCTATCTGTATAATATCTTTCTTCAAGCCTAAAACTAAGAATTATTCTTGGTTACTCTTCTCCTGTTATCTCTAAGTCTAGTCAATTATACCTTCTGTTTTTCAAGTATGTGCCACTCTACATTCCTACCATTTTCATCTTACTTAAGTTGCTACCATCTCTAGCCTGATTTACAAAAAGCAGCATCATAATTGTTCCCCTTTTTCAAATCTTCTCAACAATTCCCATGGCTCTTAAGGTATAGTGCAGACTCCTTCTCATGAATTATAAGACCTTGTATTATCTGGTCCCTGTCTACATTTTTCGCTCATCTTTGGACCCTTCCTTTCACTGTTTACCATCTATAGTAGTAAGAAGGAGCCTACGGGTAAAGAAGTAGCCAGGCTATCTGGGGGCCATTCTGTAAGGGACACTAAATTAGCACTAGAATAAATTGGAAACATGACATTTGTTTTACAGATGTATTCCTTTCTTAAATATTGAAGATTTTTATTTCTTACTTTGTGAAGGCTCATAAGTAGTTAGGGGTCTAGAGAAATCATTGAATAAAAGGTGAGAGAGAGCAGGAACTAGAAAATGTTATGATCTTTATCAGAAGAGTAACTCTTTTAGCTTAGTAGAAGTGAATAAGTAAATCCTTTGTTTAATTTTTTTAATAGAAAATAAGTTGCTCTATCCCATAAAATAGATCTTTAACAAATATTTAAATACTGTCAGTTTGAAGTGTGCCAGAATGTTATCCTGTCTTGGATGCTACATGTTTTGGTCTGGCCCTGGGTCCAGCTATGCTTTTGTACACACTGTTTCTTCTGCTTCTGTGTTATAAGTTCCTACACACGCTTTAGGACATAGCTTAGATATTTATGATATGCCTTCCCTAACTTCTCCCCATTCTTCAGTCTTCCTCCCACCTATTGCCTACCAACTCAAACACCTCATCCTAAGGGTTACCATCCACTGTACTGCCATTGTCTTTCTGCCCTTTTGTATCCTCTACTAGATTATTTGCTCTCATAGATGGGCACCTTATTTGTGCAGTTGTATTCTCAGTCTGTAGAACCATACCTGGCTTATTGGAAACAGTACAGTATTTGAACGTGCAAAAGACTGAATGAATATCTCACTTTTCTCTTTTCCATACCAGCGAGTTTCAGGTCAACTCACCTTAAGCTAAAAATGTTGGGAGTGCTAGGCTGGATGGATGGACAGAGAAGAAACAGTAGTTACCAGGTTATGTGTGATCATCTGCGGAAGGGGAATATGTCTTCAAGTGAAGAGCTAAAGATAACCAGAGAAAATCAAGAAAATCATTATTAATTAGATACTTCCATATTCCACAGAGACTAGAGGTTTAATCACTGAAGGAATACTCAGTTTGAGAGCGCCTCAGGTCAAATGAAGCGCCCAGGAATGGGAGGAGAGGGTTTTGTGAGCCCAAGTGTGTTAAGTATTATAATTACAGTGAACATCTCTATTTTGTTAGAAATAAAAATAGCTTTACATTGGTAGCTAATCAGAATTGGAAAATAGTTTGGATTTGGTGTTATCAGCAATCACGCCAAAAATTGATTCTCACAGCACAGAGTTTTATATCATAGCTGAATGGTGCACGTTGTTTTCTCCCTCAGTGCCTGGCCAAGTTGTGGACTCTGAGGAAAGTCAAATGTCAATGATTCTAGAAGGCAGGGAAGAGCACAAAGATTACCAGATGCTGCTGGCCTGCTCTTCTGTGCCAGTGGATTCATTTGCCCTTTGCAGCTGAGATCTGTACTAACTCTACAGTCACTCCTGAATTCTCTGCAGTGATGGGTAAGAGGCTGTGGCCTCTCCTCATTTCAAAGTGCCTCAAAATGACTCCATGGAGGAATTTAGTTTCATTTAGGCTCCAGCACCTGCCATACCACCTCCTGAGCAGTG